CACTTATTTCCTGCTTCAAGATCCCACAGGATATCCATCCACTTCTACCCCCTCCCTTCACATCTATCTCCCTTTCACCAGCCCTCCATCTAATAACTTATATATGAAGCTTCCATGGCTTCTGTGATTTCAAACACATCAGTGTCTCTGAAGTTTAGTCGCAATATTTATCCTTTAGAATTGCTGTGTAGATAGGCTTTTCTTGGCCCGAGGGCCACAGGCCCGAGGTCAAAACAGAGACTCGGCTCTGACTAACTGCAGTTGGGCACCTCACAGGACAGCCAGCAGACCCTGCAGACCCACCTTATTTTCTCAGACCCACCCTATTTTCTCAGACCCACCCTATTTTCTCAGGTAATCGGAGATGCCAAAAAGCCCGCAACATCCATTCCGGCAGAAAGGTCAAAACAGAGACTCGGCTGTGACTAGCTGAAGCTGGGCACCTCACAGGACAGCCAGCAGACCCCGCAGACCCACCCTATTTTCTCAGGTAATCGGAGATGCCAAAAAGCCTGTGACATCTGAACAGTAGGTACATACATTAATTCTGAGTTCTCAGAATAGACAGATTATATATACAATCATATTCTTTAACATCTGCAATTAGTTCTTACTATATAATAATTAGAAAATAATTTAAAAGTGTGGACTGTCACCAAGATATGAAACTATAAATGCATGCACATATGTTTTGGGATCAAATATTATATGAACTGCAATTTTGGGGAACCAAAATACCTATATGCAACTAAATACAACTTATTTTAGTGAACAGAAATTGAAAAGCAAATCTCACTTCCAAAATTTTCCAAGTATGGGTGTTTCAAATATTATGGAAGCATAAGCACTGCTTGTAGGTGGGATCACATATGAAAGTTGTTTGGTCTTCTGAAGTTCTGGAAAATTAATATCAAATTGGATGAACACAAATGTAGGTAGCATATTAATCATATGTATTGATTTTGTATTTGTAGAGTTCACACAAATATCACCGTAGTTAAGGACAGAGGGCCCTAAAATAAAGGAAAATGAGTTAATAAGTTTAATCTAGGCAAATACATCTATTTGTTTTCAAGTCTTCGTAATATTTTCATTAATTCTATTATAAAAAAGATAATTTTTAAAATGTTGTTGCTATTGTTGCCATGTGCCATCAAGTTTATACTCCTGCAGATTTCCAGAAGATGTAAACGAGATGGCTTTCAAAAACATTATGGATTACTTGGAAACACTGTCTGACATACTACCAGAAGATGAGTCACTCGAGTTGAAAAGTCCTCAAAATGCAACTGAGGAAAAGCTGCTCACTTAAGGTAGAGTATACTTTTTTTTTAATGATGTAGAGCTTTAAACCAATGAAGGTCTTCATTTACTGATGTGGCAAAACTCAAAATAAAGAAAAACAGTGGCAAATATTGATTTATCATTAAAACGTGGAATGTACAAAGAATGAATCAAAGAAAACTTAAATTAGTAAAAAATTACATCGAACATAAGAAGATTGACATCCTTGGTATTAGTGAGCTGAAATAGACTGATACTAGCCATTCTGAAATGGACAGTCATATAGTAGTTAATCTACTACGTCAGAAAGCACAAACTGAAGAGCAGTTGTGTCAAAGTCACCATAAAAAAGAATATTTCAAGATGAATCCTGAAGTGCAATGCTATTAGTAGAGATACTATTTATATGCATACAAGGAAGACTTGTTACTAAAGGTATTATTCAAATATGTGTACCAAATATTAATGACAAACTGTAGAAATTGAGAATTCTACTAACTTTGGCAGTTTGAAAGGGATCAAACATGTAATCAATAATCATTGGTGGCCTGAATGCAAAAGTTGGAAATGAAAAGTACTGGTTGCTGGAAAATATGACCTTGATGTCAGAATTGGAGCCAGAGATCTCATATAATCAATGATCGATAATTACAAACACTCCTTTTTAAAATTTCAATTGTGATGATACACATAGACTTCACCTGAAGGAATATGTAAGAATCAGATTGAGTATCTGTGCGGAAAGGGACAGCTCAACATCATTGGTAAAAACAAGACCGGTCAACTGTGGAACAGATCATTCATTAATCATATGCAAGCTCAAAGTGAAACAAAAAATTAAAATAGGTATATTGTTGTATTTTTTGTGTGCTGTCAAGTCAGAATCAACACATAGTTGACCCTTCATCAAATTTTTAGAGACAGTTAATTGCACAGGAGAATACTATCCATCCTCCCATGGTGCAGATGGTGTATTTCAATCATGCCACTGGGACTGCAGCATAGTTTCTTATCAGTATGCCAGCAGAGCTCTTTTATACAGTAAAAGTTCAAAGAATAATAAGAAAGTACCATTCATTTTGGGAATGTCTACCAATTTCTTTAAAAATAAAATTAAATTTACTATTGTAGTCTAGGAATTTTTCACCTAAGAATCAAATAAAAAAAATTAAAACATATCCTCACTTAAAGAATTTTCATGTGGATATTTATAGCACCATTACTAAAAACAGCTCATAAATTGATTCCCATCAAATGGTGATTTTAAAAACTATATGATATATCAATAATGTTGGATATCATTCAGATATGAAGAGAAATGCAGTATTGATTGATATATTTACCAAGAAGAGACTGGATATTTATTATTCCATTTATACGAGGTTACTACAGTAGGCAAATTGTTATAGAAAAACTAATAGGTGGTTGTGGTGAGCCAAGGATAAAGTTGATGACAGCGTTCTACAATGTGGCTGTGATAACGTTTACACAGCACTGTTAATTCACCAAAGTCCATTCACGAGCATGTTTTAATGTAAAATATACAGAATAGATACCAGATCCCAACAAATAAATCCATTTTAAAAAGATGTCAGTAGGCTTTTGTATATTCTTACCAATGATTACTTGATGAATTTGTTTTGATGTTAAAAGTATGCGACAATCTTCTTTTTCTTTCGATGTTAATGGTTTCGATTTAAGATCTTCAGAAATCTGTGGAAAAAGTAATTTTCTCCAATGATATTATTATTTTTTTAATATTAAAAGCTATTTTAAAAATTCTAAAAGAAAAATTCACTGCTGGACACAGAAGAATTTAATAAAACAACGTATGAGCAAGAGCCTGTGGTGATGAAGGAAAAAGTTCAAGCTGCTCTGAAAGGCTCCAGGAATTGACAGTATAAAACCTGACATATTCTAACAGATGCTGCCCTGGATGTGCTCACTACGTTGTGCCAAGAAATCTGGAGGACAACCACTGGAAGAGATCTATATATGCTCCCATTCCAAAGAAAGGTGACCCAACAGAATGTGGAAATTATCAAACAATATCATTGACATCACATAAAAGCAAGATTCTGCTGAAGATTATCGAAAAAATGACTGGAATAGCACATCAACAGGGAACTGCCAGAGCTAATGTTAGATGTATCTTGGCTGAAAGCAGAGTGTACCGGAGGAATGATTATCTGTGTTTCATTAACTATGCAAAGGCATTTGGCTGTGTGCATCACAACAAGCTGTGGCTGATGCTGAGAAGAATGGGACTCCCAGAACACTTGATCATGCTTGTGTGTAACCTATACTTGGACCAGGAGGCAGTCATCAGAACAGAACAAGTGAATACTGCATGGTTCAAAATCAGGAAGGGTATCTGCCAGGGATGTGTCCTATCTCCATATCATTTCAATCCATATGCAGAACAGATTATCCGGGAGGCTGGGCTCTACAAGGAGAAATGTGGCATAAGGATTGGAGGTAGGCTCATCAATAATCCGTGTTATGCAGACAGCACTACCCTGCCTGTTGAGACTGAGGAAGACCTAAAGCACTTGCTGTGGAAGGTCAAGGACTGCAGCCTTCAATATGGATTGAAGCTCAACTTCAAGAAAACAAAGATTTTTACCACTGGGATGGTTGGGAGCATCATGATAGATGGTGAAGAGATTGAGACTGTTAACAGCTTTAGTTTGCTTGGCTTCACAATCAACACTCATGGCACCAGAAGCCAGGAAAGTAAAAGAGGTATTGCATTGGGAAAGTCAGCTGTCAGAAATCTCTCCAAAGTACTGAAGAAAAATGATGTCAGTCTGGACACTAAGGTGTGCCTGATCTGAGCCATAGTCTTCACAATTACTTCCTATACATTAGAAAGCTGGACAATGACTAGGGATGATAGAAGGAGAATAGATGCCTTTGAACTGCGGTGCTGGAGAAGAGCATTGAATATTCCATGGACTACTAGGAGAACAAACAGGTTCGTCCTAGAGAAGGTGAGACAAAGTTGCTCCTTGGAAGCAAGGGTTCTGAAGGTCTGACATACTTTGGACATGTTGCAAGGAGGGATCAGTCATTGGAAAGAGACATCATGGTTGGGAGGGGAGAGCGACAGCGCAAGAGAGGAAGACCTGGAATGAGATGGATTGATTCAGTGAGTGGGGCACTAGGGATGTCTGTGTCAGAGAGCATAAGATTGGCACAAGATAGAGCAGCATTTAGGGCTGCTTTACATAGGGTTGCTATGAGTCACAGATGACTTGACGGCACATAACAACAACATAGTCAATTTCCAATTTATATAAGCCTTGTAAAACAGAATAGAACTGCCTCATATGCTTTCCAAGGATGTAAATCACTATTTCTCTATTTCTCTTTCAAATATGTTCTTTTCGGGCAACTGAGTGGTATTGTAAATCTGGAAGCTGTATGACCCGTATTGCAAATACTAGCATGTGCACCAATTCTGGGCAAGTTTCTATATCACTTTCTGTCCAAGATAAACTAAAACACACACACACACACACACACACACACGGAAAAAAAAACACCTCTGTTGGTCTGGCTTAAATTTTCTAGCAGGAGAACATTGTCTGACGTAATGCCAGAAGATGAGCTCCTCAGGTTAGAGTTGTTCCTGTTGTTATGTATAACATCCCTAAACTCTGCTCTATCCTGTGCCAATCTCATTGTCTCCAAAACATCTACTGCTATTACCCCAGTCACCAAGCCAATCCAACTCATAGAAGATCTTCCACTCCTGCGCTGTCCCTCTACCCTTGCAAGCATGAAGCCCTTCTCCAAGGACTGGTACCTCCTTGAAATATGTCCAAAGTATGTCAGACGAAGCTTCAGAATCTTTGTGTCCAAGGAGCAGCCCGGTTTCATGCTCTCCAGGACAGACCTGTTTGTTCTCCTAGCAGTCCATGGGTATATTCAGTACTCTTCTCTAGCACCACACCTCAAAGGCATCAATTATCCTTCTATCCTCCCTAGTCATTGTCCAGCTCTCTGATGCATAGCAAGTGATTGCAAAGACCATGGTATGTATCAGATACACCTAAGTCTCCAGAGTGACACCATTGCTCTTCAGTACTTTGGAGAGGTCCCTAACAGCAGACTTTTCCCATCACAATACGTCTTTTAAATTTCCTTGCTGCTGGTGTTGACTGTGGAGCAAAGCAAACTAAAGCTGTTAACAATCTTAATCTCTTCACCATGCATCCTGATGCTAACAATTGGCCCAGTGGTGAGAATTTTTGTTTTCTTGATATTGAGCCTCAATCCATATTGAAGGCGATAGTCCCTGACCTTCGGCAGCAAGAGCTTCACGTCCCCCTGAGTTTCAGCAAGCAAAGTTGTGTCATCTGCATAATGCAGATTCTTGGTGAATCTTCCTCCAATCCTGATGCCACACTTCTCCTAAAACAGCCTAGCCTCCTGGATAATCTGTACAGCATATAGATTCAAATGGTATGGAGGGAGGACACATCCCTGGCGTACACCCTTGGGGAAAGCTGCCTCCTCAAATGAGAGTTTACCTTAATGATGTAAATAGAGGTAAACTTTTGAAACTATCTTTTGCAGAAGAAACAGCTGCAAATATCCATAAATAAATCAAATGAAAATGTAAGAAGCACAAATATAGAAAAATTTGAATTTGTCAAAATGAAATAATATGCATAAAATTAATATATTAGGCATTAGTAAACTGAGATGGACTGGTAGTAATAAACATTTTAATTGTACTGTCATTTGGTCTACTATACTAAAATTTCGAACTGGTGTCATATTCACAATATTCATAAGCCTACAAGGAAGATCAGTTAATATTATTCAGACTTTATTGAACATGCAATCAAGATGCATTAATAATAATGGGTGGCTTGAATGCAAAAGTTGGGAATAGAGAAGGATCAGCAGTTGGAAAACATGGAGTTGTCAGAAATGAAGTCAGAGAGAGAATGATAGAATTTTGCACAATCAATGACTTATTTACTGCAAATACATTTTATAAGAAACATAACTGCAGGCTATACACATGGATTTCACCTGATGGTATGCATAGGAACCAGATCGATTACATCTGTGTAAGGAATCACTGGAGAAGCTAAATATCAACCTTGAAAACGAGGCCAGGTGCTGATTGTGGAACAGACCACAACTACTCATATGCAAGTTCACAGACCACCAACGACTCATATGCAAGTTCAAGCTGAAGCTGAGGAAAATTAAATCAAGTCCACAGAAAGCAAAATTTTACCTTGGGTCTACCCTGCCTGAATTTCAAAACTATATAAGGAACAATTCTCCTCATAGAGCCCAGCCTCTTGGATAATCTGCTCTGCACACTTGTGGCATCAGGATTGGTGGAAGATCTATTAACAATCTTTGTTATGCAGATGAAACAACAGTGCTTGCTGAAACTGAGGAGGACCTCATGCACTTGCTGCGAAGGGTCAAGGACTGCAGCCTTCAGTATGGACTAAGGCTCAATGT